CAATAGCTCATGCATCCAAGACGGTAGCCCTACATTTTGGCAGATGAGCTGGACTGACTAGAGCAACATTTGTGAAAACACTCCCCTAAGCAGCAGGATGCTCCCGACATCCTTGGACAGTGCTCTCTTTGGGGTCTGCCACAACCCGAAAACCATTCCGAATTTTAGGCAAGCTCATGAAAGGATTTAGAAAATAAAACTGGCAAATTAAAAAAAAGCAAAGCATATTTAACTGGGCCCTGTCAGTTTTTTAAAAATATAAAAATAGGCTTCTCTGGAAAATTAGGGGAAAACATTTTCTACCCCTAAATTTCCAAATAATGAAAAACTCATCTATACAGCTATTTCTCCTTAAGTCACCACTTATGACGGTATAAAAGTTGGCAATTACTTAAACACCTTGCTTCTGGGTAATGCCTAAGAAGCTGAGCTCAATTTGGTTTTGGCAGTAACATGCATCTTTCACATTTGGATTCATATTAAATAATCCAAAGCAACTGTTAAGCAGCTTCAGGAAAATGCATTTCATGAACATATTTCCCTTTGATTTTAAAATAATGTTGTTTCAATTAAGCCCACAAAATATATATTGTATATATAGTATTTCTCAAGAGGTAAATTAAATCTCAATTTTGTCTTTCAAAAACTGTTTTTTAAAGGTGTCAGCGTTTTCCAAAACCTCATCTCAGCTCCTTTCTTCTGATTGCCGTGTGGACCCTGTAGTTTTCTTGTAATATGTATTCTAGAAGGCACATATTCAAGAGTTTAACGTTATGTTAGTTCAAGTTCTACATGGAGGCAAATATTTTAATCTACTTTTTACAAATGCCCCAAATGAAAGTCAGCTATCGCCTTTATTTCGAGCTCTAATGCACTGCCAGGGCCCCTCTCAGAAGTGAGTTTGCACATGGGGCATCATTTGCGAAGGACTGGAAGGTGAAGTTGGGGGATCAGAAAGCTTGGCAGAGTTGGCGAGCTGCAGTTCCTCAAGCCGCTTTATGTATTCATCGCGCAAGGCTAAGAGTTCCATGTAACGCTGCTCCACTGGATTCGGCTGCTGGAGAGAACCAGAGACTTGAGTTACACTTTACGCCAGGCATGTCACGAGAACTCACCTGTTCCACCCATCTGCTGCGACTGCTGCTTTGTAAATAAGTTAAGTAGGTATTATGTAAACTCAAAGTTTAACATAATACATACTTTCCTTAACTACTGCCTCATTGACACATACAGGAAAGTACAACACACAGTACTAAACACCCAAGTACTAAGTATTTGTTCACCAAGAAATACCTAATGTACACATTTCCTCACACGTGTCACCATCTTTTAAAATTTATCAGCCCAAACACAGCTCCAGTCTCCCGCGTTGCCCGTCCCAGGCCCACTGTTCTCTTTCACTCTGAGGGACAACTCTTCTCAAGTTGCCATGTGACCTTCCTTTTTGTGCAGATTTGTGACACTTTCCCTGTGAGTATCCAGCAACAAAATACAGTATTACTTTGTATTTTATCAGAGTTTACATCACTGGTACCATCTGGTATTTATTAATTGACATTTTGACCCAATATGTTTTCTGAATTTCATCCTTGTTAAGTTGCATTGAAGGAATAAACCAGTTTCTCCACCCCTTCCCAGGCTGACGGGTGATCAGTGATTTCCAGGGTTCTTCGGTAGTGTGTGCAATGCTGTACTGAGTATCCTTGTACACATCTCCTCAAGCACATATGCGAGTGTTTCTCTAAGGAATTTTCCTAGGGGTGGAACTGCTGAGAAGTAGAATATGGTCTTTTCAACCTCACCGGATGCTGCCAAATTGTCTGCAGAGAGGCTCCTGCTGGTGATACCTGGCAGTTCTCATTGTTCTGCATTCTCACCAGAACTTGGGAGTATACGATTATTATCATTTTTTCCAATTTGAGGGCGTAACATGGTATGTCACAGTAGTTTTTGTTTGTATTGCTCTGCTAGAACATCTTTTCATGTGCGTGTTGCCCATCTTAATACATGGCTGACAGCCATAGCAGCTCTGCTATGCTCCGCCTTGGGTGTGAATGCCGGGTTTGCCCCCTCACCTTCTGTGTGCCTCCATTTCCCTATCTGTAAAATGGGAATCAAAACAGCATAGCCCTCACATGGCATTGTTGTGTGAGTGAAGTGAGTTAATAGCATCTTTTGCTACAATGGTGACTACTTTGATGAGTAAACAAGGGATTGATGTTGATACAAAGGCAGAAGTCAGGCTGGAGCATAACGCGATTCTCCCAGCATGTTAAGTTTTAAAAGTTTTGTACTGAGATATAAACCACGCACAGTGCAAAATCTTCAGATGTTCAGCTCAGTGAATCTTGACATACATACACACTTAAGTTGTCACACCCAGGTCAAGATATACAACAGAACAGTACTCCAGAAAGTTAATGTTTTGAAGGGATCAGGGGCAAGCACTTTCTAGAAAGCTTAAGCAATATATGAAGACCTTAATGTAAAACCCTAAACCATGGAAACCCTAGAAGAAAACCTAGGCAATACCATTCAGGACATAGGCATGGGGAAAGACTTCATGACAAAAACACCAAACGCAATTGCAACAAAAGCCAAAATGGACAAATGGGATCTAATTAAACTAAAGAGCTTCTGCACAGCAAAAGAAACTAGCATCGAAGTGAAGAGGCAATCTATAGAATAAGAGAAAATTTTTGCAATCTACCCATCTGACAAAGGTCTAATATCCAGAATTTACAAGGAACTGAAACAAATTTACAACAACAACAAAAAAAGATAAACAACCCCATCAGAAAGTAGGCAAAGGATATGAACAGACACTTCTCAAAAGAAGACATACATGTGGCCAACAAAGATATGAAAAAAAGCTCATCATCACTGATCATCAGAGAAACGCAAATCAAAACCACAATGAGATACCATCTCATGCCAGTCAGAATGGCGATTATTAAAAAGTCAGGAAATGATAGATGCTGGCAAGGCTGTGGAGAAATAGAACACTTTTACACTGTTGGTGGGAGTGTAAATTAGTTCAACCATTGTGGAAGGCAGTGTGGCGATTCTTCAAGGATCTAGAACCAGAAATACCATTAGACCCAGCAATCCCATTATACCCAGAGGAATATAAATCGTTCTACTATAAAGACACATACACACATGTTTATTGCAGCACTATTTACAATAGCAGAGACATAGAACCAACCCAAATGTCCATCAATGACAGACTGGATAAAGAAAATGTAGTACATACACACCATGGAATACTATGCAGCCATAAAAAGGAATGAGATCATGTCCTTTGCAGGGACAGGGATGAACTGGAAGCCATCATCCTCAGCAAACTAACACAGCAACAGAAAACTAAACACTGCATGTTCTCCCTCATAAGTGGGAGCTGAACATTGAGAACACATGGACACAGAGAGGGGAACACACACACCAGGGCCTGTTGGGGAGTGGGGGGTGAGGGGAGGGAACTCAGGATGAATCAACAGGTGCAGCAAACCACCATGGCACACGCATATCTATGTAACAAACCTGCACGTTCTGCACATGTATCCACCACCCCCTTTTTTTTGAAGGAAAAAAAGAAAAAAAAAAAGAAAAAAGCCGAACATCTAACAGAAGTGCCTTCCACATATAGTGGTTTCCAGAACCATCCTGCTTTCTACTATGTTGAACTATTTGCTGAAGCTGTGAGCACCAACAAGGAAGCTGTGAAGACAATACACTGATGAAGAATGCTGCAGTTAATTTTTTTTTGTTTTTTTTAGGAGACAGGGTCTCACTTTGTTGCCAGGCTGGAGTGCAGTGCAATCATAGCTCAGCAAAACCTTGAACACTGTAACCTTGAACTCCTGGGCTCAGGCGATCTTCCTGCCTCAGCCGGCCAAGTAGCTAGGACTACGAGCATGCACTGCCACGCCCGGCTACTTAAAACATTTTTTTTTTTTTTTTGTAGAGATGGGGCAGGGGGTCTCACTATGTTGCTTAGGCTGGTGTTGAATTTCTGGGCTCAGGTGATCCTCCTGCCTTAGCCTCCCAAAGTGCAGAGATTACAGATGTGAGCCACTGTATCTGGTCTGGATCCAATTTTTAATGTTCAGGAGAATGGTCTCTATTAGAAGCAGACACTTTCTAGAACCTGTATCCCACAGAAGGGAGCATGAGCCATGAGGTTGCCCTAAAAAATTAACACAAAGTTGGGTGGCTTTGAAAACAACAGAAATTTATTCTCTGATGGTTCTGCAGGGCAGATGCCCCAAATTAAGACGTCAGCAGGGCCATGCACCCTCTGGAGGCTTTAGGGGAGAATTCTTTCTCACCTCTTCCAGCTTCTAGTGGCTCCAGGTGTTCCTTGGCTTATGGCAGCATCGCTGCAATCTCTGCCTGTTTTCACATGGCCTTCTCTCCTCTATGTCTGGGTCTCAAATCTTCCCCTCCTTTCTCTTTTGAGGACATCTGTCATTGGATTTAGGGCTCACCCACCCTCAATCTAGGATGATCTCATCTTGAGATCCTAAACTTAATTACAACTGCAAAGATCTTTTTCCCAAATACGGTCACATTCACAGGTTCTGGGTCGCTGTCTTTTGGGGGACACACCATTCTACCCACTACAGGCAGCCAAGGTGTGAATCAGCTAAAGCCAGGTACAAATGCAGCAGAGATGGAACTGTGCCCACATTTCTACTGGGACTGGTGCTTCCATTAGTGCTCCAGTTACAAAGCCCCATAGGATTGCAGAAGTCTCTTAATCCCATTCTCCCTATGATCATTGTGACTTTTAGGGTGTGACCTGGCAGTGGGAAGTTTCTCAAAAATGCTTGGCAGAATGCCTAACACCCAGTAAGTGCTGTGGGATGCTTGCTAATATCCTTTGTCCGTTTCTCTCTTAAAATTCAACTGAGGGCCAGACACTGTTCTAGGTGCTCAGGATCCACCAGTGAACAAAGGAGGCCCAAATGACTATTTTTATGGCCTTTATCTTCTAGCAGGGGGAGACGGACAAACGACGAACATAACCATCCTGGGAGTTTCACAGAATGTTTGAAGGTGATCAATTCTACAGAAGACAAGAGCAGGGTAAGAGGATTCCACTCTAAACTGGATGGTTGGAGTGAGCTGCACTGAAGAGGTAACTTTTGGGCAAAGACTTAAGGGAGATGAAGAAGGGCATCAAGTGGATACCTGAGTGTCTGAGGAAGAGCAGAGGCGTCTGGCTGAAGCTGAGCATGTGAGAAAGAGTTGTTGGTGAGGATGCCAGGAGGTCACAGAGGTAAGGGGTGGGGTGGAGGTCACACGAGGCTTAAGAGGCCATTGTAAGGACTTGTGCCTGGACTCTGGGTGAGGTGAGCAGCTACCTGGCCAGTTTCCAGCAGCTGAGTGGCATAATCTGCTTTGGCTGCCATGTTGAGAAGAGTAGAAAGAAGTAAAGGTAGCATCAGGGGGTCCAGCTAGAAGGCCATTGCTGCCACACACGGGAGAGGGCAGGCAACACACACCAGCGTGGTGGTGGGGGCTCAGTGAGAAGTGCTCGGACGCTACATGTGTTTTGAAGGCAGAGCCCAACAAGCTCTCCTGACAGATTGGACATGGGGTGTGGGAGAGAAAGGTGTGAAGGATGACTCTAAGGTTCCTGGCCAGGGCAACTAGGCTGAAGCTACCACGAACTGAAATGGGGAAGATGGCAGGAGGAAGAGGTTTTGGGGGAAACGTTAGCAGTTCTGTTTTCACATGTTAACTTTTATTTCCAGTCCCAGCACCATTTACTGAACATTCCACTCATAGGGATGTGTTACATCACCGCCTTCTTACTATTCCAAGTCTCCACATCGATGCAGGTCTGTTTCTGGGTTCTACTCTGTTCCAAGTAAGTCTTGCTATATAGCAGGGCAGGTTCTTCCTTGATATTCTCCCCCAAAATTGTGGCTATTTTTAAAACCTCCCTTTGAAATATGAGGATTAGAATTTAGAATCAGCTTGAGTATTACAATGAGCATGTGCAATTAGATAAGAAAAAGAAATCAGGTAACAGTAATTTTTGCAGATGGCATGACTGTATCATTAGAAAACTGAAGAGAGTACACAGAAAAACTGTTAGAAATAAAAAGATAATTCAGTCAAGTAATGGGTATAAAATATGTAGAAGTTATTGGGCTACAGACAAACACAAACCACTTAGAGGAGATAAAAGAAGAGTCCATTTGTGATAGAATACAAAGACAAACAACAAGAAATGAAAACTTCAAGCCAAGTGACAAAATATTACACCTCAACTTCTCACTTGGGAAATGAATTATAAAGTATGTCCCAGCTTGGCATGGCATGGAAAAGAAGACAGGCAATCAGCTCATTATGGAAGTATTTTAGGCTTCAAACAATTTTCATATTCAGATCCCTTTTAATTTTTCTATCAAAAATGACTGAAACAAATGCCACACAGGTCAGCCTGCTAATATTTGTCCTGAATCTCATCCTTCAGTTACCACTAAACAAAATTTCAATACATCCAGTGTAACCCTGATTAACAGCTACATGTAATGCAGTGGTTCCTAGAGTACCCTATGATGCTCACTGGCAGCTGAAATTCCTACTCAGGTTTGTAATGTGACTATGCTTTTGACATGAGTAATTTCCTCGTATTAAATAAAAGCACCAGATCTGCTTATTGATAGCTTTTCAAATGTAAGCATTGGTCTTTCCATAAACTCTGCTGAGTTTTTATGTCACAGCAAGGGTTGGTGGCTTTTGCTTTTAAAAGCACACTAATCCTGCCTTCCTTGCGGCTAACAGCTCATTATGAGGCTATATATTCTTTTGTATCTTTCAACATTGATAGTATACCACCATAGTGCTGTGAATACTACAGGTGGCCAGTAATTGTTTGTATACCTTCTGGCTCGCGCAACTGAATAACAATTTAACTTTTAAGTGGTTAAGTACATTCTTTTAGGTTTATATTATGTACTTTTAAAAGTCCTATGCGATTTGATTTAATCTATTTCTGTATGAAATAATGTTCTACATAAGCAGATCTTTAGGAAAACCTAATGTACTTAATTCATACTTTTATTCTTACACTTATCCCTGTGCATTATAATCAGTGGCTTATGTTTCTGACCGCCCCTACCAGCTTGGGAGCTACTCACGGGCAGAGACCGCCTCTTCTTAATCTCGGCATCCCCCCAGTGCCTGCATGAGAACACTCAAGATTTGGTAGATGAAAACACAAAGTGCCTAGGGAGATAAAGACGTGTATAGGATCCTTCACATTCAGAAAATCCACATAGAAAAGGTAAGTTATTTCTTTTCTGAATTCATGCCAATAGATCACAATATAGGCCAATTCCTGTCTCAAAGTAAAAACCCCTACCAGAGAATGAGCACTCCTCTCCAGGCCAGTTCCATTTTGCCAAGATCTATGAGAATAAGAGGGATAAATATATTCTACTAAGTTCTTCTAATGATGTACCCTCAAACTTGACCTGTCACATAATTATTATCATTGTTACCTTCATGAATTCAGAAATGAACTGCTCCAAATTCCTTGAATTTCAAGAATTTCTCCAAGTACAAATGGGTGAGAAGAGATTACAGGGCTTCTACAAAAACTACCCGTACTTTCTCATTGCCAGTATTTTAAAAACAAGCCATGACAAATATGGAGAAGGTTTATTTTATAGGACAAACACAGTGCTCATCTATAAAATATTTTTTAATAAGGAACACATCTCTTGTAAAAGCAGTTAGAATTCTGTAAGGATTATTATTTATTCTTTACTTGATATTCCAAAATGCTAGAACTACTGTTAAATAAACTCCCCCCATTTGCTTCTCAAATTCCAAACTAAACAAGTGAATGTTCTCAAGCCCTGGAATCTGTCACTTTCCAAAAGAATACACATTTCAACCATTACCAAATTGCAAAAGCCTTTCACGTGAGTAGCACAGACCTTGAAATGAGGGTGCCAGCTTGAAATGGGCACTTCTCCAGTGAGGAGGCAGGGCACAGACTGGCGTGTAGCCAACTGCCTGAGAGGAATGAACAATCTGAGAGAGAGGCCACAGCTATGGGACCCTGCTGTGGACAGCCTATTTCTGGCATTAAAGCTGGTGCTTATGCAAGACTGAACTGTGAGAACAGGTAGTCGACCACCCACACTGAGGAAAATGTGCAAACCTTTACAAAGAACCATCACAAATACTGAATATTTATAATGCTTAGAAGAAATCAACAAACTGAAGCACTGCTGAGCCTTTACAAACAGGCTGTTTTTCCTTCTGGGTTTGGATGGAGCGGAGGTAGGAGAATGGAAAGCCCAAGTGTGTCTTTAACAAAATGTAGAGTCTTTCACTCCAAAACTCGTTGTTCCCATTTTTGTTTGATAAATGGCCGACTGAATTTACTACCATTGACAGAGTAATTATCTTTATTTTAGAAGTAAATACACTCAGTGAAAAGCAATCTGATGTTAGCTGACCTAGTGCATACACCTGAATGAGAGTAGCAAACATTTTCGTAACAGGATCATCTAAGTCTAGTCAATGTAAAGAATGTTCTAACAATGTCTGTATAATGAACAACTACTTCAAGTGATAAAAGGAAATCTCTGGCTATGAAAACTCAAATTTTCTAGAGCTTTAAATCAGCTTGCATTATAGTAAACAATTATATCACATTGGCAGAAGAATTGTAGCTTAACATCAAAACACATGGTTTAGTAATTTAAAAAAATTTAAATTAAGGTTGAGTTTAACAATAAGTGTGTTTTTAGAGTCTGATCTTTTTCTTCGCGCTGTTAAAAAAAATCCATACCAAATAATATTATCTAAGGCAAGCAGTTGACATTGCTATCTTTTAACAGTGCTACTTCACTTACTTGTTGCTTGATCCTGGGATTCCATCTAATGTAGTAATTCACCCAGAGTTCCAAGTGACGCATACTGGCAACTGGATATAAAACTCGATTGATTTCTTTAGTATAGAAGGGGTTTTTGAATTTTTCTTTGTTACTGTTTATCAGTGACCATAAAGAAACAGTTCTTTCTGTAACTTTCTACAGAGAGAGAGAGAGAGAGAAAGTGGAAAGCCTAAGTGAAAACACACATAAATCCACAAGCCATTTTGCAGCCTGTAGCAATACAGTGCAGCATCAAATTGAATCATACATTTACATTATCCTCATAATAGCTCAAAAAGCCTCACGGGCCAGTGAGTGCTTGGCAGCCACTTATCGATATTTGCATAGGTAATGGCCTAGCTTGAGAGCCACTATTTCTGCCTGAAGACAGGGGTGCAGGATACTGTACCATTAAATGCAATTCACTGACCTAAGAAGAGTATTCCTGGCTAGGTAAAACATTTATGAACAGATAGGTAGTATACTCTTCTTAATTCAGTGAAAAGAAAAATTATCATAAGATCCCAATGACTTTTAAAACTTTTCTATTTGTTGGAACTATGAAATCTTACTCTGTGTCTACTTGACGGTAGGCATCTGGACATAGTTATTTTAATCAACCATCCAGATGTTTAATCTACATGTCAACATCCATATCTGTGAAAACATCTGGATAACTGACTACACGAAGTCTTCACTTTTTAGCCTAGTGTTGCCATCTCATAAAGATATTCACATTTGCATTGCTTTCTATTGCAGGCGTTTACAAAATTCTGACCATAAACTAGAGAGAGAAAAACAAAACAAAACAAAACAAAACACCAGAGCTAGGGAAATAAAAATACAAGAATTAAAATTACCAAAGGTAGAATCTGAAATTTTTCCCAGTAATGACTTTAATAAGGAAAGAGCAATAAGCTAAAACTGGAAGCCTGAAAGAACATCCCAAAATAAATGACTAAAGAAATTTCTTGGCCAGGCGCAGTGGCTCACACCTATAATCCCAGCACTTTGGGAGGCTGAGGCAGGCAGATCACCTAAGGTCAGGAGTTTGAGACCAGCCTGGCCAACATGGTGAAGCCCCGTCTCTACCAAATATACAAAAATTAGCTGGGAGTGGTGGGGAGGCTGAGGCAGGAGAATTGCTTGAACCTGCGGGGCAGAGGTTACAGTGAGCCGTGATCGTGCCACTGTACTCCAGCCTGGGTGACAAGAGTGAAACTCCATCTCAAAAGACAAAAAAAAAAAAGAAAAGAAATTTATTAAACATATGTATTTCATTTCATGAATGACAGCATAATTTTGCCTTTCTTTGAATCCACCTAAAACCTCAGTTGTACCTTTTTGATGCCAAAATCTATATACCACATTGTATTTATTTGCATGTTACTGTTTTTATTTTTATATATGCACATAGTTTAAAAAGCCAAATAGTTTGACAAGGTTATGAAAAAAAGTGCTCTCTCTCACCTCTTTTCCCGGAAACAATTGTGTTTTTCCCCCCAGTATTATTTACAACTGACAAACAAAACTTGTATATATTTAAGGTATACAATGTGATGTTTTGATATATGTATGCATTATGAAATAATCACCGCAATCAAGCTAATTAACATGTCACCTCATCTAGTTACCAATTTTTTTTTTTGCAGTGAGAATACTTGAGATCTATTATTTTAGCAAATTTCAAATATACATTAACTATAATTACCATACTGCACATTAGGTCTTCAGTACTTATAACTGAAGGTTTGTATCTTTTGACCACTATGTCCCCCTTTCCCTTACCCCTTCCCCAGCTCCTGGTAACTACCCTTCTACTCTCTATTACTGTAGGTTCAAATTTTCTTAGATTCCACACATAAGGGAAATCATGTGGTATTTGTCTTTCTGTGCCTAGTTTATTTCACTTAGCATAATGTCCTCCAGATTTACTTATGTTGTTGCAAATGGTAGGATTTCCTTTTTTATGGCTGAGTAGTAGTCCACTGTATATAGGTACTATGTTTTCTTTATTCATCTGTTGATGGACACAGGTTGAGTCCATATCTTGGCTACTGTGAATAGTGCTGCAATATACATGAGATTGCAGATAACCTCTTTGACATGATTATTTCATTTCCTTTAGATATGTGCCCAATAGTGGGAGTGCTAGATCATATGGTAGCTATATTTTTACTTTTGGGGGAAGCTCTGTCATAGTTTGAATATTTGTTCTCTCCAAACCTCATGTTGAAATCTGATCACCAGGCTGGGCGCAGTGGCTCAACACCTGTAATCCCAGCACTTTGGGAGGCTGAGGCGGGTGGATCACTTGAGCTCAGGAGTTCGAGACCAGCCCGGGTAACATGGCAAAACCCCATCTCTACTAAAAATACAAAAATTAGCCGGCTGTGGTGGCGTGCACCTCTGGTCCCAGCTACTCAGGAGGCTCAGGTGGGAGAATCTTGCTTGAGCCCGGGAGGCGGAGGTTGCAGTGAGCCAAGATTGTGCCACTGTACTCCAGCCTGGGCAACAGTGAAACCCTGTCTCAAACAACAACAACAAAAACAAACAAACAAACAAACAAAAAGAAAAAGAAAAAGAAATCTGATCCCCAGTTTTGGAGGTGGGGCCTAGTGGGAGCTGTTTGGGTCATGAGGACAGGGCCCTCATGAACAGATTGATGCTCTCTCTTAGGTGTTTGTTGTCACTCTATATTAGTTACCAAGAGAGCTGGGTTGTTACAAAGAGCCTGGCACCCTCTCCCTGCTCTCTTGCTTCCTCTTTCACCATGTGATCTCTACATACTGGCTCCCCTTTACCTTCTGCCATGAGTGGAAGCAGCCTGAGGTTCTCACCAGAAACTAAGCAGATGCCGCCACTATGCTTCTTGTACAGCCTGCAGAACTGTGAGCCAATTAAACCTCTTTTCTTTATAAGTTACCCAGCCTCAGGTTTTCCTTTATAGAGCACAAAATGCATACATTTAATGTAATTCCTACTCTTTGAGGTCAAAGACAGTGTCTTACAAGCTAATCATATTTTTATATTTCATGGCAGACTACATACATTTTGGCAAGCCTAATATATAACAACAACAAAAAATTAGCATTTTAACTCACCTGTCTTTCTCGAGCAGATTCACAGTTGAATAAGAAAGTACCAAATCGGCAACTATACAGATGATCCAAAATTATAATCAAAAATTGTTCATTGAATTCAAAAGCTGTAGGGAACTAAACAAAAGCAAGCAAACAAAGCATGAAAAACTGGGACTGAAACTTTATAAAAGTAGAAGGATACACCATAGAAGTAAACAAATGCTGCCACATTGTAGGGCTCTAGAAAGGACAGCAGAGGCTGTAATCTGCACACATACTACTACTATATATACTGCACACTTTTTGGCAGT